TTTCTGTCAATGACTTATTAAGGTATATGACACCTATTGCCAAGTTTTTCTTTGCAAATGATCTTTGATAAAAACTAGAAATGGTGATGGGAAACTGAATGACACAAACAACATGTGACAAGTAAAGATCAGGCTCAGATTTTTTTCAGTCCCATTGAAGCGCCTTTGCTGAAAGACTGTCTCTTTTCTCAAGGACACAGGAACAGAGCACCTTGGGAGAGCCACCCTCATGCAAACCAATGCATCATGAATTTCCTTGGCCTTCTGAACATGGTCAGATAAGTCCATACATATTGGACTTTCCTCACAGAAAGATCTGGAGGAATTTTTCTTACTCTAGAGATATTCTTACTTGTTTATCCAGCCTTCTATATTAAGACTCTGATATCAGAGTTGGGTAGCAAGAAAATTTAAAGTGATCAAAATAAAGATGGAACCTGATTCTTCTAGAGTGGTTTCAGAACATCTTATTTGGTCTACACATAATGAGTAAAACAGGCACATCCATGCTAACTGTAGAGGTCTGTGAATAACAGTAGCATCAGAGATGATGGGAAGTGATTAAACAGTATGCCTGGCCAAGGGAAGAGAGCATTCCAGGAAAATTACTTCCAAAAATAGGGAATAACATGAATATTTCAGCAAATGGATATGGAAGTGGATTCTAGCACAGTTTTCTGAGAGTTTCACTATTTTCAGAAAGAGCTTTTTGCCAACATGTGAAATGAGTGTATTTTGATGCAGATTTTGTTCTTTGCCAGGACAGAGACAGAATAGTCTAAGAATGTTTGATGGCCTGAAAATGGTTAACTAATGATACTAAAATCTGTATTAAAATGTAATTCAGTTCCGTAATTATATTTCTTATGCATGGAGACAGAAATAAACTAGAGGAAGAACCTATTAGCCCTTTTGCATGTATAATTGAACACGTTTGATATTACTAGGTAACCTTTGTAAGTAACTGGCTTTGAGTTTATGCAAAGAGGTGAACACTTTGAATATATAAATAACAATAAGAGCAGATAGGTTTTTGATTTTGTATTCCGTTCTTTTCTTGTTTGTGTCTGTTAGATGCAGTCAGACATCCCTGGCTTTATTTGGCCATCCACAGAAACATCTGAAAGATCTGACTTTTGCATCATTTGGGTGCAGTAATGAATAAGAACTGACATCAAATATCAATATTGTTGGCCCGGCTAAATGGTAGCTGACATCCAACTGGACTGCTGAAGAGGTAAACAAAACTGAAATTTTGTTTTTGTTTAAAAACTGTCTGACATTATTTGTCCTTCAGTAAATCAATGGAAGAACAACCTAAATGCTGTTGCATTTTGGCTTGGGGAAGTAAAACTTGGGCAGTTGCTATCAAGCATATTTTTTATAGTCTTTTAGTTTTCCTAATATAAACCGTAATTCCAAAAATACTTTTTTGTTTTAAGGAAACTTGGTAACCTCTGAAATGATCTCTTAACTTACAGACATCACAGCATAGCAGATACAAACACAGGTGAATGATAACCATACTCTTATTTGAACATAAACACATATATACACACACATAAGGGAGCAATTTTTGCTCTACTTTAAATTCATAACGATTCAAGCAAGCATCTATAGTCCTTATAGTTCATTAGCACAGGTGATTTGCCAAGCTGGGAAAATGCTGTGCAAAGTATGTACAAAACTGACTTAGAATGCTATTTAGGCCATTTTATATTACATACCAATGCTCAAGAACACATCACCATTCCTTCTATGAATTCTACTGTATGAAATAGCATTGTTTTCCCCTAGCTGTTGATTAAAAGCATGTACTAATGTAAAAACGTTAGTGGTTTGATTTTTCATCTTTTCGTGAATTACACAGACGCAAAAATATCCTCTCCATAATTATCCACAAGACAGAAGGACAGAGCCAGCGCTGACTTGGATGTCCTTGCCTTGACATCCAAATGTAGGCACTCTGGTATCGATGGGGCTCCCTCCACCACCTTTTGTTCACCATAGGCCTACATTTGTTATATGGAATCCAATAATAACCTCAAATCCCAGCATCATTAAAAAACTGGGGTAATTACTTTGCCTCTTAGGTGCAGTCTCACTTGGGTTTCCCTAGAGTGGGTATCTGCTTTCACAGGTAAGGTATGTTCACATGTATCTTTTACTGCATGCAGAGGCTTTGGGAGGGAATTAGAGCACACCGAGTAGCCTCTACAAATCCATCCTTACAAGCACACGCGTATGTTTCTACTCAAAGGCTTAGCCCTCAGTGAAAAGAAACATCTGAAACATTTTTCTCTACAAAGTTAGTTGTGTTATGGGGACATGGGAGTAAAAAGGACAGTAACATTACATTTTAGGAGGAAAGATGCATTTTTCTACATCCTCAGTTCAAAAGCAGTCCTATGAATTTTGCTCACTTTTTCTCCAACTTTCCACAGGCAGAGAATGAGCTTGGAAAACCCCAGAATTTATACACTGCTGAAAGCATTATCTTCAAGTCCTGACATCACAATTACAGAATTTTCTATCAGGGCAATGTGATTGCCCGACAGATTCTCCAGAAAGCTCATGTCCCAGCAAGGCAGCCTCCAACAAATGGCCACGTTTCAAGTGCCAGACTGGCAGTTATGTTCCACAGAGAAATGGCTAATTATAGAATCCGAGCAATATTAAGAGTTCTGGCTGTTGCCCACTTAACAAAAACCTATTAACTACAGTTTCAGAAGCATGGTATAGTAAATAACTCAGATTTAATCAGTTTCACAGAGTTTAATGAGGATTTATTCAATTTGTATAAATTCATTATTCTTTTTTCCTTCTTCCTCATATAATACTCTTCCCCTAAAATATCCCTTAATTTTTGAACACACTGACAATGGTGTCCTAATCTATGGTAGTCTGATCTAACGGGAAAAATTGTTCTTTGTTCTTGTATTTTCTATACAGGACATTGTGTAATTAGAATTTAAAGTTCTTTCAAAACTCCTTTGGGCACCAAGCAGACTGAGACATGACTATCACAAATCCACTGAAGTGACTTAGGAGCCTACTTAAACTGACTATATCCTAAGCAGAAAAAGGAGTGAATCTCCTGGGATCTTTCACCATTACAGCACTGCACCCATAGAGTCCGACCCTATAGACGTGACTTCTGATAAGGCGTGGGATCTGCAGACCTGTGACATTAAGGTCAAACAATATATATATTATTTATATATATATAAACCAAACAAACCAAAAACCCAACCAAAAAGCCAAAAACCCTGATCCAGGTAGGATTCTTTCAGCAGCCTTCAGTTTTGCCATTCCAGACTTGAGAAACCAGACTTTTCCAACAAATCTTTGACTGCCTGCAAAGCTTCTTCGGCCAGGTCTGACCATTAGGTTTTCTGTTGGCCAAACAGTGCATGATCATCTCAAAAATTTTTCCCATGAAAGCATCGTTGAAAATAGTAGTATTTCTATAAAACCCCCCTTTTCCCCATAAAACACGTCTTAACAAAAAATAGAAAAAAAGTCACTCAAAACACCTTAATCAGCTTGCTTAGAGTAGAATATTTTATTTTTTTAGTCGGCAAGCAGTAGAGGGCAAGAAAACAGTGCTCTGGCACTATATTTGGTTGAAATATAGCGCTTGCTTTGCTATCCAACCAAAGTGATAATTCTAACTTGTACAACTCAGGACCAACTACTTAGTCTTTTCAGTAGCTTTCCAGTACACAGAGAGTTAATTTATATAACTGCAATTGCAGCTTCTAAAATTATATTCCTCACTCAGTTTAATCAATGCTGCACTAGATGTTTCCATTTTTACTAATTCAATCATTGAGAATGTCAACCAATGATTTAGCCTAGAGTTTAATGCCAACTATAATATTCTTTATCAAAATAACACGCTTATCTGAAAGATTATCAGCACACAGTCTTTCAGCTTCCTGTTAATCATTATAGGTCACATTAGAGCATGAGGCTCTTTGTAAATAGTCACGTTAAAGACCATGCTATAGTATTGCTATAGTATCTCCCTCACAATTCTTGCTACTGGTAAATATTCTTTGTTCTACACCAGGGTGTTTCAAAATACTGAGACGCAGGTTGTGCCTGTGAAATATACAGGTACACACATGCAGCCAAGAATTAAGATGTCCTGGGAATTCCTATTCCTCTCCTTGACATTATCCCACACTTTCTGCTATGTCAGCCCCTAATGTTTGCCCTGTAAACAAGTAGGGTTGACATTAGCAGTTGGTAAAGCAGTAGCTGATATTGAACAAGAAGAGAATATTCAGGATCTCCTACAGTAAAAATTAGTACCTTGTTCTGCTTGTAATGAAACTGGCGACGAGAGCACAGGAAGCAGGGACACCTTTAAGATATTTTTCGGGAAAGATGGTCCCTGAGAGAAAAGACTGTAAGTGGTAGCAGAAACCAACACGTGCCTCACCACTTCCTTACTTGTTCTAAAGAGCAGTGTGACCAGGAGAGACAGAGGAACCATACATTACAAGTGTTTTGATCATTTCAGAATACTTCATATCACCTCAAAGAAACATTTTTGGGAAAATCACTTCCCTTCCAAAGTTAACAAGCATTCAGATAACAGTCTGTCTCCAATTTCAATCAAATTTTTTTTTTTTTTTTAGACACAGCTATAAGATTAACCATCCAGGAAAACAAAACTAACAGCAAATTTCATTTAAGTAAAGTAACTAAATGATCATGACAAAAGAGAATGGCTTACATATGATGCACTGATCAAAGGAGGAAAGAGGTAGGGTAGACACAAGGAGGGGGCAGCTTTATTATAACAGTCTCTGAGACTCTGCTCTGTGTGGCAGGTGTGTGCCACACTGAACTGCTCTAGAAGTCACTACTAATACTAAATTCAGCTGCAGAGGTATCTATTTCACCAAAGCTCATGACAGTATTTACCAGAGCAAGGAACGTGATGATTAAAAAAAAAAAAAAAAAGGAAATTAATACACAGACCTTACTTTCATGTTGAATGTAGCATGATTACAAGAATGCAGGTGACCATAGAATGTGTAAACACAGAGATCTTAGGAATTAAACATAAAAATAGAGCAATTCAATAAATTATAGAGATATAAATTAATCTATATCCTTGTAAATAGGAAGACCTTGATTTTATGGCTGTGTGCAAACCAAGGCAGTTTGCGTGCTAAAAAACAGCTCCTGGTTGCTAGAAGAGGAACATATTTATCACAATTATTAAGGATATATATCCGTACTTCACATAATTGCTAGCAGAAAAGGTGCATTCAAATACCACTAAAAAAAGCCATCTCCTTTGCCAGAGGTTTTGAATTAGAAGATGTAATCACTGCTTCCAAAAGACTGAGCTCTTGATTTTAGGCAGTGATTCAGTACATGTCTCTTGATATTCCACACACACCATTAAAGTCTTCCTTAAGGAATCACAAGCATGAAATAAAAATTAATTATGTTTTGTCATCTTCCACATTAGGCTGTAAGTGACCTACATAGTGCAGTAACATATGTCAGATGTCATCACTGATATCTGACTTGTTCTCCCAGTACAGGAGGCATCCAACCACAGTATCTCTGGCTAAAAAAACCAAAGTCTTCAAGATGGGAAGACACAGATATTGAAAACAGATGTATTTCTCTGTTTTCATAAAAATCAGTGGCTTCATAGGTAACAGTAACAAAAATACTCTCTATTAAAAGTGAAACCCAGCCTTGAACAAGTGTAATCATAGCCTGAAGAACAAGTTTGAACTCTAAGAAAAGAGTTTATTGACTCTGAAATTGGAAGACAATTTGTTGCATTTTTCTGGAGAGACAAAAAACCCCAAAACTAAGATCCAAAATTCTACCATTCATCCTAATGGTCCTTTCTTTGTACTTGTTCCAGTTTGAATCAATCTCTTGGGAGCAGGGGTAACATAGGTTAATCATACCTCTGTCATGCTTTTAGAGTTTATACCATTGGCTTAATTCCATTTTTATTTTCCCCATCCACAAAAAAAAAAAATAAAAAAAAATCTCTTTTTCACTGACAAAACCTCCTTATGTTTTTATAACCAGCATGCTTTATCAGTATATTCTCACTGTTTGCAACAAGTCCTTTCAGGAAAGTAGTTAATGAGGTTTGACCACAAAGTAAATTCTGGAGAGACACTATTCAATAATACTCTGTGGTTCATATTACATCTCTGAACCATTTAAGAAAACTCAGTCCAACAAAACAGCAGTTTAAGGGGATTAGATTGCTGTTGTAAATGTCTCAGCAGTTAAGAGCAAAGAGGGAAAAGACCTATTGAAGCTGAAGAGCAGTGTTGATGCAGGAACATATGGGTATTCATTATCTACAGATAAATTTCAGCTGGAAATTAGAAGAGAGTTCTCAAACAGTGAGATATAAAAACTCCCCTCCACTCTAAGTAGTGGGGATAAAAATTTCTCATTAATTGTAGGAAGATGCTTGAAGAGTCTGGAAATAAATGACCTTCTCCTGCATGTGATCTTTTGCCTGAACTTGGAGACCAAGGAGACTCTTTTCAGTCTTGTTCATAAGGCAGTAGAATACAAATTTCTGATAAAGCCCAGCATTTAATACTTCAGAGGATTCCTTTTGTTTAAAAAATGTCACCAAGAAAATGCAGCAGGTTACTTTGGTAAGTGCCATTTTTTATCTTATATATTTCATTTACCTTTTTGTCTTGAAGTAGTCTCAGCTTCAAGGCTGCATACACTATTGAGATCAAACTAGGAAATTAGTATTATTCCCATGGAAGCATTGTAAAACAAACATAACAAAACAAAGGGCTCTGGACTATTAAAAGCAAGCCACTGTCTTTAAGGAGCAACCACACCATCCACTTTAAGCATAAAAATGTTGTCAGAGCACAGTTCTTGAGTCATCCACAGTTTTCAACAGATTTACAGGGTGAAAAAGTGCTAAAAAAACTCACCCCAAACCCTGTATATTTACATTCTTTCTAAATATTAAAATATGAACCAATAAATCATGATAAAAAGAAAATTTAAATAATTGTCCAATTATAAATTCACTGTTGAAATAGAAATGTAATTACACAAAATTCCCAAGATACTGACAGACAAATTAAATTTGATAAAGATCCATAATAGGACAAAGATAACTAAACACATATATGCAAGTCTAGCAAGAAAAAATTTCAAGGACATTAAAATTTAGCTTGCGGTCTAGCAGCAGTATCAGTTGTACCCAGTCCATGGTAACAAACCAAATGTTGGCGCATGTTTTGCGTGTAAAGAATAGCCTATTGTAAAATAACTGCTATTTCTCAGCAGGGCATAGTTATTTACTCTCAGACACTTTCAAATACCAATATATAGACAGTAATCTTTCACAAATGCACAAAAACATGCTCTCACAAACAAACAAACAAACAAACAAAAAAGAGATAAAACCACATGGATGTTGTGCCACAAAATGCATGTGAACCTTCTGATTTCCCTTCCAATAATTCAATCCAGTATAAACCACCTGAAGAGGATTTTAATAATAGTAATAATAATAAAAACTAGACAAATGCAACAGTTTTGTAATGTGTTTCTCAATACTACTGCTGAAAATTAATTTCCAAAGTGCCACTTTATTTTTGTTCAATGCACAGCTAGTGTGTCCTTCACCAACACCAGGAAATCTGAGTTTTGCAGACATAGATGCCAGAAAAATAAAACTGGAAGGCTTACTATTTAGCTGTAATATCCCAGCAAAATCAAACAGTAATAAATATTCTCTAGATCAGAGTGCACGTTAAGGTAGCACTGAGCTTTCAGCATCCAGAGCTCAGCAGTATGTTAATGATACATCTTTTGTACATGCATTCTGCTTTTCAGTCTTTAATTATAATTAATTAATAAAAATAATCTACCAGAAAACTACCAGGACCCCTGCTCCATTTGATATGGAGCTGAACAGGGTTTCTGCATTCCAGGCTTAATCTCACTTGGAGTGAAGTCTGGAGCATCTCTTCTTCAAGGGAATTTCACTGGAGTGCCTTGTGAATTGGTCCTTGGCTTACTTACAGCTTCTGTCATCAGGAACCAGCTGTATGCTCTACCATTTAACTAAATTTCTTTAAGGTTCAAGACAAGTAGGGCAAACATCTAGGTCTTGTATCACAAGGAAAAGAGCAGAGGAAAGAGGACGACCTTGTCTTAATGTCAGGGGAGTTGTTAGTTAGGGAGAATTACACTTTGCTGCTACCTTCAAGGTCTCAGTGACCATTACCCCACTGACAGAAGCAACATCATCAGAAATCGAGAGTGGGAGAAACAACAACACATCAGAGCAGCACTCTGCAGCTGTAAAAAGGGCTATTTTTTTCCACATCTAACCCATGAGGTCTATCCAGTCTCCTTGCATATGACACTAGCAGTCTAAAGGGCAGTAAATTACGAAGAATACATTATTATTGTTAACTGAGTCATCAGGTCTTGACTGAAATATTAATAGGGGAAATCTCAGTTCTATTACCTCCTTGAGCTACTGCCCAATTACATTAATAACATTACATTCTTCCTCTCCAGAAAATACACAAAACATTCAAAGAAACAAAATATGAAGTGTTCTGCATTGTTGGTTGGTTTATGTTTTTTTTTTTTTTTAAAAAAAAAATCCCATGCATGCACACACATAATTTTCCAGTTTGAAATGCAGAAATTAACATCAGAATCAGCGGTTAGAAATACCATGGCATTATGTTATAGAGCCTATCAACCTCTCAGCTTCCACTGAACACAGACATTAATTGCCTGCCTTGGACTGAAGCTATCTAAAAAACTTCAGATAGAGAAAACAATTACTTTTTAAAAATGACATCTGGGATTATAGAAAAGCAGCCTGACCTATGGAATAATGCATGCATGAACACTTACCCTGCTGCAAAAGTAGTTAAACAAGGAAACTAAATTCAAATGATTTTTTTTGTTCTTACTTTCACAGGATAAAAGCCCAAGATTTCAGAATCAATAGTGAAATTCTGCTGTAAATCCTCCTTATTGTGTCCATATAAATATACAAATACCAGAGCAAGACAAGACAGGCTGAAGACAATAATAATTAATATACTACAGCTTTTTTACATCAGTAGAACTAAATTCAATAAGTAACACAGCAGTTGAATCACCCTATACTTATTTAAATTAGCAGCTTAGCAGCAACTACAAAAAACTCCCAAGCCTAACAAGCCATAATTCTAGCATTTCTGGAAAAAACACACAGCCAAAAAACATTGAGCATCATTTAAAAATTACTCATGTCTTTTAAACTCTGCTGGTTTGATTATTTTTCTGGATTTTGAATGCCCTGCTATACATGAAAGTCTGACATGAATAATCTTACTTCATCATGTTCAAAATCAAGATAACAAATCCATTAGATCAAGCTAAGTGTAATATATCTACTAGGTGCAATACGTAATTATCTTTATTAGATTGATACGATATAGGCTTTTAGATAATAACATCTGAGTATGAGATTTACATAAACAATGTTCAGAGAGGAGATATATTTGTAATTTCTTGGTTCATTTAGAAATTACCTCAAAGAAGTATGTTCATTCAGAAGGACTGAACTAAGAAAAGTGTTTAAACCATGAAGCACTCAACAGTGTAACTGTTTACCTCGTTCTCTTTATTAAAAATGAACAAAACCTCCCAACAGTTTTTCATGAACGGCTTAATTTTATTTTGGGGAAAAAAATAGTATCTTGAATGAAACTTCTGACCTTACATAGGTAACTTTTCAGAAAGTGAAATAATCTAATGCTTAGGAAACTCCTTTCACTATACTTGAACTTTTCCTAAACAAGCATAATGTTAAGTGTACCGCGATTACTGGCTATCGACTCACTGGGGAAGGTCTAACCTTTCTCTCAATTCCCCTTGGTGAGCACGGCCAAGGGCTTCCCTTTTTACAACAAAGTACAAAATTAAAAGCACAACTCCTACTCAAACCCTTGCCTTATTCATGATGTGGTCTGTCTGCTTGTTCTAGCCGTGCTTTGCATCAGCAAGGCACTA